CTCTGCAGGGTTTCTCTACTACAGTCATCTAGACTCCTTCACATATCTCAGGAGTGAGATCCTGGAGATGGCTGGATCTTACAGTCCTCTATGGGCTGAACTGCTGAGGCCCAGCTCAGGTTAAGAGCCTTGCCCCAGGGCACAGACTATAAGATCCAATGCTTCACTGGGGGATAAGTGACAACCAGGCTCAGAGGATACAAACCCTTTCCCTCAGTCACACCTTGGAATCAGTGGTCACCACATGGTTCAGGTGATCTGCTCCTTGGGGACTGCCTGAGCCTTTTGGGTCCCCAAGGGCCTCTGAAACTATGTCTCAAACCACACAGAGAACAACCAGGAGGAACAGAGATCAACAGAGCTAGGCCTAGTGTCTATCAACTAGATATGAGGCTAAGAGTCTCCACCAAAGCTCAGCATAGAAATGATTACCTAGGTGGCCAGAGTAAGCCCTCTACATGGAATAGAAAACTGCTAAGTGGCTTCCCTGGGCTCAAGCCACAAAGGCAGGGCAGCATGGAGGAAGCAGCCCAACCCAGCGCTCGGGGGAACAATTTCTGTGACAAGGACTGCACACTTTAACAGAAGCACGAGGAAATTGGTCAATTAGAATGTTTAGGATTTGAAGCCCCAGTGGGCATTTCAGGTACTTTCTTCTCTGTTTTCTTAGCAGAACCCCAGGATGCCATACCTCAGGGGCTTTCTGGTTTCTCTTTTCTGCCTTCCCTAACAAATAAACGATAGCAATCACAATAGCTAAAAGCAACTAAGCTATTTTTGTTTACTCCTCAAAGCACTCTAACAAGTAAATACTACTATTATAATCTCCAATTTGCAGAAGGGAAACTGAGGCCTAGGGTGACTCCCCGAAGCCACGACACCCATGAACAGTGCAGAGACTTAACCTGGGAAGGTGAGCTCCGGAGTCCGGATGCCGACCACCAGGCTATGCTTGAACAGATAGGGACGTGGAAAACAGAGAAGGCATCCAGAAATCTTCATAAAGGCCATGTAGGCAGCACAGCTATTGTGATTGCTACCACTTATTTATTAGGGAAGGCAGACAAAAGAAACCAGAAAGCCCCTGAGGTATGGCATCCTGGGGTTCTGCTAAGAAAACAGAGAAGAAAGTGCCTGAAATGTCCACTGGTGCTTCAAATCCTAAATATTCTAATTGACCAGTTTCCTCATTTTCAAGTTTTCTTGGTCAGACTCTCTTGACCTTGAAAAGACAGGCCTCTCTTGTGGCCTTGTCTCTACTTCTTAGCATCTCTCATCTGTGATACCGCAGTATTCTCCTAACTGGTCTTTCTCCCTCCAACCTCTCCTTCCTCCAACCCAACTTCCCCATTGCTAAAAGAGTTACCTTCCCAACAGATAACTTCCATCACGTCGGTACCTTGCTTAAATCCTTTAGTGACTCCCACTTCCCACAGCATAAAATCTAAACTCCTCAGCAAGGCTCTCTGGCCATTTCATGGGGGCTACGCTGTTCCGGATAACTCTGTTTTTGTTATTAATGACATTAACCATATCGTCCAGCTTAGCTTTATGAAGGGATCACTCAATCTAGACAAAAGTCCTGGTATTACCAGATAAATGCCATCCATCTAATTTTCTACCTATCAGTCACTTCTTTCCGACCTTTAAAAGATACAATCATACTATTTTCCAGGTTAGAAAACACTACACTGGAAACCCTCCCAAATACCATGTTTCTTATGAGCACTGTGGTGCTGCTCAGAGGAATAACGCGAGAGAATGCTGCCTGGTGTATAAGTGTGGACATTTTCATCCTGTGAAGGTTCAGCATTTAAACCTACTTAACCTACAAAAACTGGAGCTAAACACAAATAAAAATCCTTCAGTCACAGTAGGTGGAGATCTTAAGGTACCCCAGCTCCAGCTCTAAGACTCAGTGGGTATAGAGGGAAGAAACAGAGAAATGTTTCTGTTATAGAGCAAAGGACTCCAATGTTTCTTGACTCTGCTAGAATTCTGGAAAGTGACACCTAAAGCAAATGTTTAAGAAAGAGTGGAGCTTATGATAAAGCAAGACCTACTTAAGGACTTGTAGACTCACCAGGCGGGGCAGGGGAGAGTCAGACAGACCTCACTTTGAATCCCAGCTCTGCTACATTGACAAGTGGAAAGTTATTCAACCTCTTTTAGCATCAGTTTCCTCATCTGTAAAATGGGCATTATAATACCAACTTAGAGGGTTGCTGGAAAGATTAAATGACATAATGGGTATAAGATGCCTAACTTATAAAAGGTGCCTAAAAAAAGGTAGCTTTTGAAACTGTTATAAAGATGATCTTAAGGACGTACACACACACCCCATTTCACAGAGAAACCCCTCAGCTCAAAACCTGGGACAGGTCTTAATTGGCAGCATCAGAGTTAGAACCTCTACACTCCCCCACCCTGTCCTTCATTCTGGCCTCTGAGCCCTTTTTTAGAGGAGAGAGCCAAAGGATTAATACTGAAATAGTAAACAAACGCATGAATAAGCTCGGATATCTCATAGCGTCCCCAGTGGTATAGATCTAGTTTGATATCCAACTCCAAAAGCATTTCTCTGTTGGGTAATACTTAGGTGCAAAGCAACGCATAGGCTCTACATGGATACAAAGCTGGACACAGCCCTTTGCCTTGAGGTCTCCCTGTCTAAGGATGGGAAGTTCAAGCAGGAGCGTAGACTCAATTCAGGCCACCTTTTGGGTTATTTATTATATGTATTGTAACTAAAAAGGATCTCACTGCATATCACAACATGTATAAATGGAATTGCATTCTTAGTTAAAACTACTTCACAGTTATTTCCTCCATTCTCATGGCATTCCAGGCCTTAAATCCGGCAGATTAGTGCAATACTCTCATCACTACATTTGGTAGCATTTTCTCGTGAAAGAAAAAAAAAAAAAGATAAGACCATCTAAGTGAGAATGATATGAAACATTGCCCTTGAATGCTAGCATTTAAAAGTGTTACTTTTAAAAATAAAAATTGTAGGGCATAGGAATAAAATCATATTTATTCCCAGGGTGGAAAATGTGTATTTTTATTTATTTAAGACTCAAGTCAGATGATCAAAACTAATTAAAAAGAATATAATTACTATGAAGGTGCCAGATCATGAGTGACCTCAGAATTCCCCCCTCCTATCAATGCAATTTGAAATGGATAAATAATAAGCCAGCTGGGATTTGCAAATCCTACAGAATCCTGGACTGTCCTCGCCATCAGAATTTAATGCAGATAATCCCAGAGCCAGAAGGAATCATGGAAGCTGTCTTTCCCATCCCCCTGCCTTCCAAACTTTAGAACCTCCAGAAAGATGAGATTCTGCCTGGCCTCCGTAAATGTCACCACCTTCCCCATGGCCAGCTCCTCTGGTTCAGGAAGGTGTGCAGGACTGGAAATCAGGCTTCAGCCTCAGAGGCAGCCACCCTCCCTCACCTCCAAGGGGAAGCCCTCCAGCTGGACTCCCAACCTTTTCCCCTCCCCCCTCCTGGGACTCAGTTCTCTCTTTGCAGACTCCTCAAGCCTACTGCTTCATTTCCTGCGGTCACACCACCTTAGATGGTTCTGCTCTCCCACAGCCCTTCCCAGGCCAGTTCACCACTGCCAAGGCCACTTCTACCCTCTGTTCTCATTGCCTTGCTTCTCTAGGTGGTAGTTCTCTGCCTCCATTTTTTATGGGTCTTTCCCCTCCTTAATATCCAGGGTATGGAAGGGCCTCAACACATGGTAAGTGTTCAAAAACAGCAACCTTGATTATTACTGATATCCTTATTATTTCAGCCTATAAATCCACCAAAATGGCTGTCCCAAGTCAACAATAGCCTTCTCATCCCACATCTGGTGGCCTTTTCTCTACTCCATCCTCATGGACTTTGGTAGGTTAAAGCATCCTAGCTTGTTTAAAATTCCTTCTTTCTTAGAATATATGCACTCCTATGTTCATTGCAGCACTATTTACAATAGCCAAGATTTGGAAGCAGCCCACGTGCCTGTTAGTTGATGAGAGGATAAAAAAGCTGTGGTACATTTATACAATGGAATATTACTTGGCCATAAAAAAGGAAATCTTACCCTTTGGTAAGGTGGACCTGGAGAGCATTATGCTAAGTGAAATGAGCCAGTCAGTAAAAGACAAATAACATATGATTTTACATATATGTGGAATCTAATGAACAAAACAAATAAACAAACAAAACAGAAACAGACTCATAGATACAGAGAACAGACTGACAGTTGTCATAGGGGAGGTGGGTTGTGGGGCTGGGTGAAAAAGGTGAAGGGATTAACAAAAACACACACCTCAGATATAGACAATGGCATGGTGATTACCAGAGGGAAAGGGGGGTAGGGGGAGGGAGAAGAAGGTAAAGGGGGATAAATGGTGATGGAGGCAGACTTGACTTGGGGTGATGAATACACAATACAATATGCAGATGATGTGTTATAGAATTGAATACCTGAAACCTATATAATTTTATTAACCAATGTCACCCCAATACATTCAATTAAAAATTAAAAAATAAATAAATAAAAATTATTTTTATTCCAAAAAAAATAAAGTAAAATGCCTTCTCTCTTCGGCTTCTGGGGCACCCTCTTACCCCAGCGTCTCACAGAGACTTCAGAACCGGGACGTTAATCAGCATACATAAGCAGACTTGAGTTTGAAAATCGACAACCCTTTCGCCTGCTGCTGCCTCTGACAGCCACACCCAGAGGCGGGTGATGCAGATCACAGGCGGCTCCGACATCAGGGCCACTGCATGCGAGGCCCCGTGGCCCCCGCGTGGTCACATGCCGCACTGTCTGGCTTCTTTGAGGTCTCAGCTCAAATGTCACCTCCCCGGAGAGGTCCTCTCGGACCATTAGGAGCGTCATAACCAAAGGCAGGTGATCCCAGAACCAGAGAGACAAAATCGATGCTGTCCTCTGTCCCCACAGGCTGTTCTGCGGGCGAGTCCCTCCCCGCTCACCTGGATCAGCGTCTCCAGCTCCTGTGGGCTCACACAGATATGATCCCGCAGGAATTCTGCCTTTTCCAAGGCGATGGTATTCTTCTGGCTGCTCTCAAAAGGCTGCTCCAGTGCCCGGAAGACGAGGCCACCGGTGACAAGGTAGACCACCACAACCACAAAGATGGCCACCACGGTTTTCCACTTCATGACTGTCTGCAGGCCCCCTTGGGGGGCTCCTTCCATCCTGGCTACCACCGTGGCTCGGGAGGAGATAGACAGGCGTGGGGCCGGGTAGTGCCCGTTAGCGGCAGCCTTGGGCGGGCACACGGGGGGCGCTGCGGCGGGAACGGCCACTGGGAAACAGGGGGGGAGAGAGAGTCATTTATAAACACAGAACACAAGGCCGCTCAGCCCTCACGCGCAGGCCACCCTCGAGCCAGCTTTCAACCGCGGGGATTAGCACTGCTTCACCAAGACTGCCTTTAGGGAACGTTATCAGGTGCTTATTTGAATTCTAAAAAAAAAAAGTGAGCACCGGGAGTCCTAGTTTAAAACAAAGTTATTAATTGAGTTTGAAATGCTTCTACAAGGGTCCAAAGTTGAAGCCAGGCCTCTGTTATCATTCATTTCTTCTCTCAGCTTCCTCCTTTAAATAATACGTAAGATACACAACAAATCACCATATTGGAAAAACAGGCATATTGTTCAACTTGGAGAGCAAACAGATGACAGATAGATACCCAGCTCCTCCGTCCAAGTACTGAGGACCAGGTGAAACCGATAAGCAGAGAGGAGATGCACAACCAGCAAGTTTAACAGGCCCTGTTACCCAGAGCTGTGGTCACAAAACAAAGAAGGGTGAACTTGCCATAAGGGATCTGAGTAAAAAATGAGATACAGTAGCCCCGCCAGTGTGGCTCAGTGGTTGAGCATCAACCTGGGATCCAGGAGATCATGGTTTGATTCCCGGTCAGGGCACATGCCCGGGTTGTGGCTCGATCCCCAGTCGGGGGCCTGCAGGAGGCAGCTGATCAATGACTCTCTCATCATTAATGTTTCTGTCTCTCTCTCTCCCTCTCCCTTTCTCTCTCTGAAATCAATAAAGACATATTAAAAAAAAAAAAGAGACACAGTAAAGAAAGTTTGGGTTTCTGCAGGCTACTAAAGTTGAAGAAAAAGAAAGGCTGCCATAATGAAGGAAGGAAGCAACGAGTCATGTTATTGCCACTTAACTTGGTTTCCTGGAAAATATAATAATAATAAAATGCCTCCCAACCATATCTCTCAACAGAAAACGTGACTCAGATGCAATGTAATCACTCCTGAGCTATTAGTAATAACAATTTTCTTCTATTTTCTCTAATAAGAAGCTACTGGAAAGGAAATTTCCCCTGGTTTTCAGGACACATGGAATTCTCAAAGGTCCCTAGTCTCTGTGAGAACTTCACTACCTTGGAAATAAATGTGCAAGCTGGGGCCTTCTCTGCAACGGCAGGGAGTTCAGGGTAGTGTTGCGCACGCAATGCTACCATGCATTTCAGAGAACAGCCATTTCATTTTGATTCTGTCTCCCTTTATTTTTACTAACGCTTATTATGATCTTCATAGTGGTGCAGCCTGACCTTTGTGTAAATAAGGTATTAGGAGATGACAAACCCAATTACCTAAGTGGGGCAAACAATCTCACTCCTGAGAGCTAACTGCTCCATCTCTGCCTTGGGAAACTCAAGGTAAATAAAAACGCAGGAATGTCACTCCTTGTTCAAAACACCAGCAACCATGACAACACCTGGCCAGGGGGATGCCCACCTCAGGGAATCTAGGTTTGTACATACATCAGCCTTTCCTCCCAGAGCCTCAAAATCAGCTTTTCTCTGGAAACCAACCGGAGCATCAGCTTTTATTATATATTATTCTAACAAATAAAATCATTAAATGTTACACTTCCTTCTAACTTACAGGAATATATAACTCTCTGGAGTCTCTCATTGAAAGATTTAAGAGTGAGAATCAGCACCCTGGGAATTATGTTCTTGCTAACCCTTCCCTGAAGATGCTATGCTCAAGTTCCTACTTGCCCGTGGTCCTGAGAGGGTGAGCCTTGTCTAGGGCAGCTGTCTTGCAACCGTGCCCTCATCTTCCATCCATTCGACCTCCTTGCTGTTATTTCAATCCCTTGCACTTCTCACCAAACCCACAGCTACTAGCCTCCTCCAGGCCACTACCACGTCTTACCCGGATCAATCCAGCAGCCTCCTAGGTCACCTACCTGCTTCCACTTCCACCCAACTTCTGACCCATAAATCTGGGGTTAAGTACCACTATGGAAGCACCTCTCCCTTGTTCCCACTGTGGTCTGAAGAATAATGGTCCCAAAAGATGTCCACATGAGCATCCCTAGGACCTATGCCTATATTACCTTACATGGAACAAAGGGACTTTGCAGATGTGACTTAACTGAGGATCTAGAGATAGGGAGATTTTCCTGGATTATCTGGTGAGCTCAATTAAGTGTCCTTATAAGAGGGAGGAGGGAGTACCAGAGAAAGAGAGAGATATAAGGACAGAAAGAGAGGTCAGAGTGATAACCATGAGCCAAGGGATTCAGGCTGCCTTTAGAAGCTGGAAAAGGCAAGGAACAGATTCTCCCCTGGGGCCTCCAGAAGGATTCAGCCCTACCTACACCTTAATCTCCTCTCAGTGAGACAGATTTTGAACTTCTGACCTCCCAAACCATAAAATGATTAATTTGTGTGTTTTTTCAGCCACTACATATGCAGCGATTAGTCTCAGCAGCAACAGGAACTAACATCCTGCCCCCCCCCCCCATTAATTT